CTGAAGAGGATCAAGATTGTTTGTAGGGAGACTACTCAAGTGGTTATTATGGCAGCTCAGGAGAAAGATGGTGGTGACTTGGACTTGGGTGGCAACAATGACATAAGGAAAAGTAGTTGGATTTGAAATATGTTTTGGAACAGGCCTGCACCCCAGGGGTTTTTGCTAGCTTGGAAGTGGAGGGGAGAGAGAAACAATGTAAATGGATTCTAGTTTTTAGATCTGTGCAACTTAATAAATCATGGTTCTAATAACTGAAATGAAAAACTCTAGAGGGGCAGAAGATTTTTAGAAAGATGTTTGGAGGAATCAAAAGTTTTACTTTAGACAATAAGTTTGCCTAAGGAAACTCCAAGTAGACCTGCTAATGAGGTGACTGCTTATACAATTCGAGTAGTCAGAGATACAAACTTGGAGGTTATTAAGAAATAGATAGGATTCAAAACCATAAGACTTATCAGATTCACTGGGAAAGCACTGTAAATTTAAAAAGAATTATAAACCCAAGAAGTATGAATAATATAAAACCATTACATTCCAAATTTAACATGTAGTATATTCTTGAGAGAAAGAAAAAAACTGTTTCGCTGAATTTGCTCCTGGTAGACGGTAGCTCAAGTACATCTGCTCTGTTTCAGGTATTGCAGATGCCATGGAAATTTTCTTAGACTTTGTAATATTGAAAAAGAAGAGAGAAAGTTTTCTTATAATAACAGTTTATCTCATTTATTACATTAGATACACTAATTTATAAAACTAAGAAACATGAAAGAAGAAATTTGTCAGGAACATTTTTTCCTGTAATATTTTTATTTTGGTCTTATTCAAAAGGGAGACCTATAAGGACACCTACCTAAGCATTACACATAATGGGTGGTGATTTTGTGGGTATTTACATTTTTTCTTAGACATGAGAAGCAAGATTATAAGTGAAGTCAGCGATGGCTGCAATGTGGAGCGTGGTTAGTTAAATATGGTAACTCATTAACGTGTAAGTCCCAAGCAAAGCGTGTGTTGTAATTACGGTTTAAGTTGCAAAATATGCTTTCACTACAGAAATCAGTCATCAATTTTTCCAGGTTAATTACCTATAAGGATGCAACAACAGAGATAGGAAGAGTCGAAAGGAAATGAGCTGGGAATTTGTAAGGATTATGGGCAAAACAAGGTTACATACAGATTGGGAAATTGAACGTTTGTTTTCCATTTACCTAAATCTCCAAGGTTGGGTTATACACATCCTATGTGGGTGTATGCATGCGAACACCCATCTGTGTTTCTAGAAAATAGACTTTAATTGAACAGAAAAATCAATTGGGTTCACAGACTTTGACATCATTATTTGTTCAGATGAATCAGTTGCAGCTTCAAATGATAGACTCATCTATAGAAATGGAGCAAACTTACAATTTATCTAAACATTCAGCTGATGATTGTACATGATCCAAGGACAATCTTCTTGAATGATTTTTTTAAAGTTAACTTTTCCAGTCAGAGAGGAAAAGGATGATGAGACAAAAGTCTGAGAAAACTGACCATAAAAATTCACATAAAATATGAAGATTAATGATAATAAAAGAGTGTTAAAAGGTATGGCTGAAAGAAACATTTGAAATTAAAACATGGAAAGGGCATGTAAGAGATTTAACATAATCAGTACTTTCATTCAATTTAGTAAGTACGTATTGATCACTTATGGATTATAAACCTTAGAAGTCAGAATGTTTTCCTTCTAGCAGTTTACAGTTTACCATAAACTGTATAAACAAACTACTGAGCATTTAACAGAAAACTAGGAAAAATAGTAGTAGAAAATACTACTTTCAGGACTCAAACTTGGAAATATTTTTGTTGATTAGGCCATAAAATACAGGATGATCAAAGGAAGGTGAAGGGGAGATTCCAGGTTGTGGAAACACAACAGGCCAAGTTTTGGACATTTAGGTTACCAAAAGATTGGAAAGGCTGGGAAATTGTTATTGAGGTGTTAAAGTCACTAGAGCTATAGGAAGAAATTGTCAGGAGCTGAAGAACCAATGCTTCATCAGTTGGCTCCAGAGCTTGCCCTTCTCCAAACCAGATAAGCTTTCAGACCACTCCAATTCTTTAGGTGTTTCTGTTGATTATTTTCAGCAATTACCTAATAAAAGTCTGACATAAGTAACAGTACAAGCTTAGAAATCTACCTACTTTAGAGATGTTGCAATCGACAGGTACCTAACAAGTGACATCCACTTAAGAAGGCCAACACAGGAAGATTATTAAAGGACAATGTTTAAAATCTTTATCAGATATTTTAAGAACTAGGTAACCTTTAGAAGGATATAAGGTAGGCCGGACACGGTGGCTCACGCCTGTAATCCCAGCACTTTGGCAGGCCGAGGCGGGCGGATCACGAGGTCAAGAGATTGAGACCATCCTGGCCAACATGGTGAAACCCCATCTCTACTAAAAATACAAAAATTAGCTGGGCATGGTGGTGTGCTTGTAATCCCAGCTACTCAGGAGGCTGAGGCAGGATAATTGCTTGAACCCAGGAGGTGGAGATTGCAGTGAGCCAAGATCATGCCACTGCACTCCAGCCTGGCGACAGAGAGAGACCCCATCTTGAAAAAAAGGGGAAAAAAAAGGATCTCGGGTAAAAAGCCTTTAAAATAAAAACAGTTCATCCATCTCCATAGCGAGGTGTCTACAATCTTGCATTAAAGGCTTCATTTAGGGAGTTCGTAGGGTACTTTTTAAGTGGAAAAATACATACTTAACCTTTATCCCTACAACAAATTGTTTTATTGGTTTATCTGTAGCTTGAAGGCATTAGATTAGAGCCAGAAACAAAAAACAAAAAACATTAAAAGAAAATACCAATTAGAGGTCAAAGTTTATCTACCTCATAATTCTACCAAAGTTATACATCTTTTTTCCTCAAAAGAAAAATAGCATATAGCATCTATTTGAGTTTGAATTATTTGACATAACTTAATGTTTCCCCTGTTCTTGAATGTTTATCATATATCTCAATTTTCACATTAACAACTAATATCCATGTTATATATTTAAAATGAATTTCCATTATTCTTTCTCCCCCTTTTTTCTAATTAATTAGGAATCAATTTTGTCAACATATTGAAGAAATCATTTCAGGAAAATAAGAATCACACTTCCTTTTTACTGTTAGACTGCTATCATACATTTTAAAAGATCATTCTTTGTATTTGCAATTCAAAAGCAGAGAAAACAACTAATTTAATTATCATGCAAAGTATATATAATTTTCCTGATTTGTTAACCAAAGTGGCTTTAAGAGGATTCTGTCACAAAAATGCTCTGATCATAACAGGAAAGTAAGCACAAATCCTCACTTCGACTCTGTTAAGTGAAAATAAAGAGTTTCAAGCTTCCATTGCTCCCCCTAATGGTAGGAAAGCAGAAAACATCTAAATGAATGTATTTCACATTTCTTTGTCAACTAAATACTTTACAGAAACTTTCCTCCACGTATGTTCAATATCGTATTTTATGTAAGTTCACAAAACAAATTAAAAGTAATAAATATATCATTTATTATTAAATTCCTGGTATTATATGAAAGACTCCTTACTATTCTGAGTAATTATTAAATGCTTGGAATTAATCTCTTTCCTTAAGTTTAGGGTAAAGGTGAAAAAGTTAAACTCATAGATTGTATAACATAAATCAGTTATCTATAGGAATCAATCCTATTTGTTTCTCAACTGTTACTATATGATTGATTTATTTAAAAATTAAACAATGCTCAGACAACTTTACATTCAAATATTCACATCTCTAACAGCACTGACTTGTCAAATCACCTCATGTATCTTGAAACGCTTACTACAAGAAGAAAGCTTTACTCTAAAAGGCATTTTGAGCAATTTTCTTTCAGAACTCAGACAAAGAATGGGTATCAGTGTAACCCATTAAAAACACGAAGACTATCATAGAAAAGTGACTTTGGTGAACGGTGGTTATTTAGGATTGTCTCCTTGCCAAAAATACAATCTCATTTTTATGATGAAAAGAGTATTATAACAGGGAAAGAAAGCTTATGCAATAGTAAAAACAGTTGAGAAGGGAATTATACAAAGAATGAGACATGGCATCAAGAATGAATTCAAAAAGAGCAGAAAAATATAGGCACAAAAAGAGATAATGTACAGAAAAAAAAAGTCAGTGATACAACAATACAAATTTTTATGTGCTAACATTTAAGTAATTTAGAGCTGGATTTTATAAACATGAAATTGTTTTTCTAATACATTCAACCAAAAGTCAGCACACATAGTTCAGTCATCTCTCATTACTTACAATAAAATATTTTTGGTTTGTTGGGAAATAATATCTTATTCCCTGGATCTATTATTTCTTTTTATTGGCTTTGTTTCTATTCTCTAAATTTATTTGCTTAATTTTTATAACTGATTCTCTGACTATATTCCATCTTATTCTAGCGTGGATTATTTAAAACCTGTATTAGTTTTGGAACCACTAAACATTTGCTCAGAAGTTTGAATTACCAGAAAAGCCCCTAACTCTTCAAGAACTTTCAAGCCTAAGGAATCACTGATTTCATGCATTCATCCTTGAGATTTTACTTAAAAATTAGAAATAACAGATCTCATATTTCACAAAATCAGAATGACTTTTGCAGTGGGGGAATGAGAAGTGGGAAAAGGATGATACTGGGGGTTCTCTGTCAGTATGCTGTACATAGCAGTGCAGTTGAATGACTCCTTCTGTGCGTCACAAATCCAAAGCAGCAGCAGCAGCAATTAGGGAAGATCGTCACTTTCACTCAAGGTTCAGAAATGGGGGAGGAGAGCAGGGGGGGACAAAGGAAAAGGGGAGGAGAAAGCAGGGCGAAGGGGGGAAGGATAGAGGTGAAGATAGGGCACATCCTGCAAAGATAATGCCTGTACAATCAATGACATCATCCTCCTGCTTATATATATAGGGGAATGGCCAGAGCACCTCTCATAGTTCACTCACTTTCAAAGCCAGCTGAAGGCAAGAGGAAGTGCTAGAGAGAGCCCCCTTCAGTGTGCTTCTGACTTTTATGGAACTGGCTTGTTAGAAGGCTGAAAGATGATGGCAGGAATGAAAATCCAGCTTGTATGCATGCTACTCCTGGCTTTCAGTTCCTGGAGTCTGTGCTCAGGTAAGCAAAACAGAATTTCACAACTCCCTGAAGTGATTTCTTTTTTCTCTTGCAGTGTGTTGCTGCTTATGTTCATGTATCGAGGGAGAAGAGTTGCTCCCTTTTATTCAGGATTTACCTTTTAGTGACAGAAACTGAATATCTTTTTCTCTGCCTTTATGATTACTGAGAGCTGCATTTTCCCTTTTAAAATCTACAAAGCAATAAAAGGGATTTCAATGAAACACTGCATGACCCCCTTTGGAATGCAACCACTAGAGGGAAAAAAAAAAAAAAAAAAACCTTACAAAACTTTCAATTAGGCTGATCATTATCTAATGAGAAGTACAGAGACAGTGGCTGTCAACCTGCAAACCCATCATTAAATCCCATTCCATTTAAAATGTTTTACTCTCATCCTCATTCAATCTCTTAGGAAACGGTGGCCCTCATGCCCTTGTAATAGTCCCCATACTATTTTCTTAATTGTTTGTGTAAAGATAACACATAAAGTAAAAATGGATGCTTACTGAAAAATGAATGAAGCATTATTTGTAGATATTCATTTCTAGAAAAATACAAAAATATTCCAGATCCTTTTTGAGAATACAGTTTGCATAGTCTAATAAGTATGCTATTAATTTAACTGTTTGGCATTTTTTCCATGCCATTTAAGTTAATACAAAATACAGTTGGAGAATTGGTATTCTTATATTGATGGAAATGATTTGACTTCAGAGTGTTTTGCATGTGGTGTGAAAGGAGAAGTTATATAGTCCTAAATATCTATAAATAATACACTTTGAAAATAAGATTTAAATTGAAAGGTATAACATGAAATATTACAACCATTGCAAAAGGCTGTACTTAATATTTAAGAAATATTTGAATGACCACTTCAAAGGGAAAAGAACACCTTAGGAAGTAAATGCAGCAAAAATAATTTAATCTGCTCCGTGCTTTTATGTATCATAAATATGACATTGAAATGTTTAACTCAAACTCATGCTATCATTTGATTTAAATTATGACATTAAAATCTAAGAAGATATAAAAGTGATTTATGCAAAATTTTAAATTTATTTTAATCATCAGAACATAACTTTCAGCTTCTACTTTTCAAATCTTATGAGAAAAAACAAACTTCTACAATTGTGATTTTATCTGAAAGTTATATGAGATTAAAGATTCACATACTTCTGGAAGAAAAACTGGGTTATTGATTAAGCACTGTGATGATTAACTTGAAACTACTTGTTGTAATAATGCAAAACTTATGAGGATTTGAGTATACATTGTTCATAAATTCCTAAAACAGATTATGTCTCTAATAAATAAGGAGAGAAGATCTCTTGTATAATTTAGGTTCTAGGTAAAATTAAGCCAATAGTTTCTCCGATTCTGACATTTATTTTTACTGAGTGTGAAGTACAAGAAAGATAGAGTCATTTTTAACTTGATTTTTATCATCGTACACTATTTTCTAAATTTTCCTTCTCTGTAAAATATTCATTAACAGAAACTTGGATAGAGTTTTTAAAAAAATCCAGAGACCCATTTTCAATGCTATTGTACATGTATTGTTGAACAGCTCCACTTTTGCTTTAAACAATTTTCTTAAACACCTATGATAAAATTAAGGATACATAATGCCGAATTCTTACTTAAAGTACAAATACAATTCTTTCAATGTATGTTTTGTAAAAAAGCATCTCAAGTTAAGTAAATCTCAGTATCTGTATTATTCTAAAATTATCAGTAAGCAATTCCCTTTGGTTTTGTCTTGAAAAAGTCTCTTGTATAATCTTCATTATGTTGTGTTTTTAAATGTTAATATGCATATTTTCTATATATGTAAACTATGGCTGGTAAGAAATAAACTACTCTAGCATATTTGGTAAAATATGTGTTATACAATATAATCACATTTTAAAAATCTGAAATTCAAAGTTTAAACAACTCGAAGTCATCAACAGCTGTCTGAACAAATAATCATATGCTTATTTTCTTAGAAGTGCTTCTACTATTTTAGCTTCCTATTATGCTAAAATATACCTAAAATTTGTTTTTTAAGATTACTATTTTTAAGAAAATACATAAGAAAGACACTAACCTCTAAGACTACTTTTTTAAAATTAACCTAAAATCTGTAGATTATGATATAATTATATGATATGTGATTATAGTAAACCTGATTTTGATTTTACTCAGATTCAGAGGAGGAAATGAAAGCATTAGAAGCAGATTTATTGACCAGCATGCATACATCAAAGGTAACTTTTTCTTTTCTTTAACTCTGGGTTGAAGAACATATGAACTTTCATTATCAATATGGTATCCTTTTCCTATAGTAATAACTTCCCATCCAGATTTAAAAGTTCCTTAAGAGGCATTTCCTTTTTGAAAAAAAAAAAATTCTTTTAGTTAAAAGAAGTTAAAGGTGTTGATATGACAGGTAAAGAAATTATAGTTCTATCAATCAGTATTTTGCAATTTTAATTAATTGCCACACATATTTACGTGCCTGTAAATGTTTTTAAAGGAACTTGTTTCCATGCCTTTTACATTGGGTATGATGAAAGGTATATTGGTCTCAGTTTAAATGAAAACAAAGTGAGCTCTTTGCCTTTGTTTATTATATTGGGGGAAATAAAAAGGTGTTTTTTTATTTCCTTAAATTAGAAATAACAGTTCATTACAACCTGCAAAAGAAATGTAGTAGAGAGGGGAGAGCAATGGACTGGCAAGCAGGAGCACTGAGATCTAATCCTGAAACAGTGACTTATTAAATATTTTATCTTTAGCAAGTGGATTAGTTTACCTTGCTTACCTGTGTTTCCTTGTTTTTAAATGCAGCTCATAGTCTTCTAGACATTTACCATTCTATAATGTATTTAGGAATTACTAAACTGTACTCTTCATTGTATGTCTGGATTTAAATTCTCCCTATGCCAGACACGTTATTTTCACATGTTCTAATTCTTTTTTCTTTAATTGAGCCAAATACAACTTTGTATTCTGGGCCCTATTACTCCTCTGCTGGGGTCTTGAAAGCAAGTTTCTAAAATTCCAATCCGTACCTAGGAATACGTTCTGCGGTACATGTGCAGGATGTGCAGGTTTGTTACATAGGTAAAGGTGTGCTGTGGTGGTTTGCTGCACCTATCAACCCATCACCTAGGTATTAAGCCTAGCATGCATTAGCTATTTTTCCTAATGCTCTTCCTTCCTCCACCCCACCCTCTGACAGGCCCCAGTGTGGGTTGTTCCCCTCCCTGTGCCCATGTGTTCTCATTGTTTAGTACTCAATCAGAATACCAATGGCTACAACCTCTTCAGTTCAAAACTAGACAACTGAAGTTAATAGTCTGTGTTAGAAAATGGGATAAGTTACGTGCCTTGGTGTCTTGGTATAGATTTACCTAATTCCCAGGTGCAAGTTAATACATAAAGGTCCTAAATAATCTGTGATGCTACCCATAACAATTATTAATGTGTGGAATGCATTACTATCTTCATGCTTTGTAATTGTCCACATTTAATAATACCATCTTTGTCACTGCTCCATTACACATTAAGCTGAAATGTAATAGATATGGAATAATTTTTTATTTTTTATTTTTCATCTGTGATATATATATCATATTTATATATTTCTGCTGTCATTTTAATTTCCTTGCTTTTTTACCTTGCTCTGTGTGTACACACATAAGTGCATGTGTATGTGAATATGACTATTGCGTTTTATTAAATAGAATTTATGAGATATTGGCACTGTACAACTTTGTGAACATGATGTTACCAAACAAATAACACTGTGTTTATTAGACTGGAGTAGCAATTACACCCTAAATGCGATGGTTTAGCACACTGGGAATTCATTTCTTGCTCATGTAACACAAGTTTTAATTGCAGGGTTTTTTTTTTTTTTTTATTTTATGTTTCAGATTAGTAAAGCACATGTTCCCTCTTGGAAGATGACTCTGCTAAATGTTTGCAGTCTTGTAAATAATTTGAACAGCCCAGCTGAGGAAACAGGAGAAGTTCATGAAGAGCAGCTTATTACAAGAAGGAAACTTCCCAATGCTTTAGATGGCTTTAGCTTGGAAGCAATGTTGACAATATACCAGCTCCACAAAATCTGTCACAGCAGGGCTTTTCAACACTGGGAGGTATAGCAATAACAAAATATTAATATGATTATAGTTACACTAGTTAACTGTCATTTGTATTGATTTATTAAATTCCCAATCATAATCATAACAAGAAGAGTTACAAGTATTGAAGAAGAACAAGCCATGTGTTGAAGTCAACATTGCTTCAAATCTTCAAAGTGTCCTTCAAATATTTGAAACTGAGCAAAATATGTTTTTCTTCAACCTTAAAAAGAGGATATATCTTCAGGCAGATTTGATCTACATGTTTTTATTATGCTTAAGTGGATGGCATGTTTAGGCAATTTTTGTTGTTTTAGGTGGTGGCATGTCTAACAAATTTAAGCAATTCGAAATGTTGTCTTAGAAACACAAAGTCATGTGTAGTGATCTATAAACAAACTGGATTTATAAATCTATAAACAAAGTAATCCAAGTAAAACTGGAATAAAACATAAAGTTTTCCATTTGTATTTGAATATATTAGGCAAATAAAAAATATATTTTTATCTATATACGAATATAAGATAAGGATGTATTACGTTGTTGCAAAAGTAATTGTGGTTCTTGCCATTACTTTTGCCATTACTGTTGATGGCAAAAACCACAATTACTTTTGCACCAACCTAATATATCTCTATTATTCCAGTTTTATCTGGAACCTGTTGTGTTTGAATATATTAGGCAAATAAAAATATTTTTAATTTATATAAAGGTATATATAATAGGGATATATATCTGCCCATCATTTCAGTTTATTTGGAAACCTTTGTGTTCTGTGTTTGTTTATAAATACACACCAGTGTGTAATAATGTACTTGCAAAATGCTTTACAATTTATTGCCTTCATTGATATATTTTGCTCTGAAATATAAATTACAGCTTTGAGAAGATATAGAACAATGTTAAGATAAAGAAGAGGAGGGGGAAGAAAAATAAATTCTTCAACAAAAACAAAACAGATGTTTAAAAATTTCTGACAAGGGAAACATTTCTTTCAAATTAACCTCTAAGAGAAATTTGGTCAATATTTTATATTCTGGATTTACACTAGCATTAGAGATCTGAGGGTGCCTTCCCTGCTAATCTAACAAACTTGTGATTGACTACCAAAGAGCTACCCTGTAGATAAGAAGAAGTGCAGGCAGAATTTCTAGTGTTTATTATAACTGGTAAGCAAAAAGATAAATAAACAAAAAGCTGAAAAGATCAGTTTTAAATTTACTATTAATTATTTAATTTAAATTTCTGGTAAATTGTTTAGTATTTAAAATATGTTTTGGCTGGGCACGGTGGCTCACGCCTGTAATCCCAGTAGTTTGTGAGGCTGAGGCGGACTGATCACTAGGTCAGGAGCTCGAGACCATCCTGGCTAACACGGTGAAATCTCGTCTCCACTAAAACTACAAAAAATTAGCTGGGTGTGGTGGCTGGCGCCTGTCGTCCCAGCTACTCAGGAGGCTGAGGCAGGAGAATGACGTGAACTCGGGAGGCGGAGCTTGCAGTGAACCTAGATCGCACCACTACACTCCTGCCTATATTTTTATATAGGAAAATGTCCAGTATATGTTACTTACCCCCCCGCCCAAAAAATCCTCAATAAACTACTATGTAGACCAATCAAGTGCAAATAAGATTAAAACTTTTTCCTATTTTAAATGTTATTGAGTGATTTAAAATAAAATGATAATATTCTGAGCATAGTACAAGTAATTACAGACTATGCACAAAAAAACTAAAGATTAAGAAAGTAGATTGTCTGACAGTAGCTGTTTTCTCTCTGAAATTTAATAGCTGTGGGTTGAAATAAAGTACTTGGTTTTAAGATTTTATTCATATGCATTACAATTTAAAACTCAGTCCCCATCAATATTTGTTATAGTGACCCCTCAAATTAGAAGATAACTAAAAATACAAAAAAAAATTATCTTTAACATACTTTTAAAGTTTATTCAAATTGTGTATTAAACTATGGACAGATTTCTTAAATGGTAGCTGAAATTTTTGAGTCAGAATCATATTCTCAGAAAAAAAGTTATAGTTAATATTAGAATGGGGCATATTCCTGCCTCTTGATATTAGGTAAGATTCTGCATGGAGTTTAACTCCTTTAAGTTATTGAATCTGAACTTGCTTTAATGATTAAGCACCACAATCTAAAGAGATTGTCATCATTTAAATCGAGCTTTCCCATACATTGATTTTTACAACTGACGAAGTTGGATAAAGCAATTTTAATGCCTCTATTGAGAAATAGACCCTTGGAATGGTTTTCATGTCAAATCAGTAACTGACTTAATTGAATATAAAATTTTGTTACCTTTGTGGCCAAACTTGGTTTACCAGATCAAAAACTATATTGAAATATATATTTCATACTTTTGGCATTTCCATCATAAATTGAAGCCTGAAAAGTACTCAAAGGTCTATTTGGTGTTTTTCTACAAAAGGTGGGATTAGTGTACAGTCTTGAAATACATAATTAGTAAAGTATATAGAAATTTTTTAAAAGAGCTAGCCTGGTGAACTAGGAAGAATCCTGAACTGAGTCAGAATTACCATGTTCTTATACTATTGCAGCCACTGAATAGCCGTCTCTCCTTTGAAAAAACAATTTCTTTAAACTTCGTGTATCTCGTATCTCACCTACATATGTCTTGCTGTCTTAACAGCAAATGAGATAGAATGTAGAAAAATGCTCTGAAACAAAAGAGTTCATTCATGTAAGTTTCACTTACTTCATCTCTATCTTGCAGTTAATCCAGGAAGATATTCTTGATACTGGAAATGACAAAAATGAAAAGGAAGAAGTCATAAAGAGAAAAATTCCTTATATTCTCAAACGGCAGCTGTTTGAGAATAAACCCAGAAGACCCTACATACTCAAAAGAGATTCTTACTACTACTGAGAGAATAAATCATGTATTTACATGTGATTGTGATTCATCATACTTTAAATATCAAATTATATTTGTGTGAAAATGTGACAAAACACACTTATTTGTCTCTTCTACAATTGTGGTTTATTGAATGTGATTTTTCTGCACTAATATAAATTAGACTAAGTGTTTTCAAATAAATCTAAATCTTCAGCATGATGTGTTGTGTATAATTGGAGTAGATATTAATTAAGTCACATGTACAATGTTTTGTAATTTTGCAAAACATATCTTGAGTTGTTTAAACAGTCAAAATGTTTGATATTTTATACCAGCTTATGAGCTCAAAGTCTTACGGCAAAGCCTAGCCTACATATCATTCACCCAAAACAAAGTAATAGCACCTCTTTTATTATTTTGACTGAATGTTTTATTGAATTGAAAGAAACATACATTCTTTTCAAGACTTCCTCATGAATCTCTCAATTATAGGAAAAGTTATTGTGATAAAATAGGAACAGCTGAAAGATTGAATAATGAACTATTGTTAATTATTCCTATTTTAATGAATGACCTTGAACTGAATTTTTTGTCTGTTAAATGAACTTGATAGCTAATAAAAAGACAACTAGTCATCAAAATCATGTTTCTCCACAGATTTGCTTCTTTATAGTGTTACTTTTTATTGAATTTTCCCCCTTTTGCATTTTGACCTAGTAAATAATAGTTTTACTTTTAACTTCACTGAAGTATTTGTGTGACTAATATTTTTCTCAGTTGGAAGGGCATATTTGAGGCAAAAGTTATGCTTGAAATAACACCTCTTAAATTTTCTTTAAGATCATACATACGGTGTCTGAAGCCCTCAAAGTCTTCGCAAGTCATCATTAGTAGTGACTTTCTTGACTCTTTCTTTTATAGAGGTCTAGGAAGTCTTCTCCTCGCAAGGCTGCAAACTATCCCACAGTCATCTATGCAAGATAAATCAGAGCTTGAGTTGTTCTGGTATTAAGAGGCCTTTACAACTCCATACCCTTTGAGAAGATTGTCCCTCCTTGAGGATTAATATTACTCTTGGAAGAAGTGAAGAGAAATCTATAGATCTCTGAGTTTTTCTTGTAAAATCATGACTTCTCATTACTACTACCCCACCATCTCTTACCATCCCAGTAATCTCATAATTAAAAGTGCCCAAAGTCCTGCTTATAATAAGGAAACTATTTCATAATGATTAAGAGTGTCTTCTCTGCAGCTAGAATGCCTAGATTCAGCTCCACTACTCACTAAGCAGTATTGGATAACTTAACCTCCCTGTTTCTTCAATCATAAAATGTAGACAACAACAAGGTTTGCAGGAGGATGATATGAGCTGATATATATATATATATATACACACACACACACACACACATATGTAATGCTTAGAATGATACCTTGAACATATTAATGACACACTTAACAGTTATCAGTAGTAACAGTAGTACCAACTTTCCCATAAGAAAGTACTCATCAGATGATACATTTCTCTGTTTACTTCATTAGTTAAAAAGGTTCAAATCTACTAGGTCATACATCATCATCAAAACTCTGTTCTAAGCCAACACCCACTCTTTTCCAACCCTTTAAATCCTTTCATTGGTTATTCTATGGAATTCATGGTCATTGCTTTCTTAATAGCTTTTTCGATGCCTGACTGACTTTTATAACATGTGTTAACATTATCTGGAAGTGAGGTATGTATTCTGGTCACTACCATACCATTTTTCTTTCCCTTTTAAAAACTATGGATTATTTGAAATACAGGGCATAAGACAATTTCATCAACTGTGATACGAATAACTATTGTTTTCTCAGTTTCTGAGCATCTTCACCTCCAATAATGAATATTTATCCTTTTCATATCAACCAGTCACTTCCATGGTCATATCACAGAACATTTCACTACCAATAAATTCATTCTTTACAAAATCTCATTTTCAAGCACTCTACTCTGGAAACATCATCTTGTTTTTCCAGTTCACATAAGCTAGTACTCTCACTACAGCATCTATGATTCTGTCCAACTCATTGTCCCACCGCTTTTTACTCTTCATCTTCTGATTATGACCTTATCTTCCTCTTTAGTTAGCTTACTTTGCTCCAAAATTAAAATGACTCCCTTGCTACCCTCAACCCTCTGTCTTAAATCATATAAGTTTCTCAAAACATCAGCTGTTAAACTTAAATCTCTCCTGATTCTGACCTCACTGAAAAAGCTTAACATAGCTGAAAGGAAGTGTTCAACTTTGTTGAAAAGTCACACTTAAAATTTTTAATCACAAATCTCAAGTGGATCCCTATTATTGCCCAGAATTCCTATTCATTTGTCTAATAAATTTCACTTCTGATTCTCAGTGATGATTGTTTCATACCCTCTCTTCTTTGAATTTCAACATTTTTCATTCTCCTAACTTCATTTGATGACTTTTCAATTATTTCTCCAAAAATTAAAAAACAATAAGGAAAAAAATGTTATCATTCTTCCCTCTCTATCACATGTAACCATCTGCCTGCATCTAATTTTCATTCTTTTTCTCCACTTCCATTTTGGTGGAAGAACTTTTTCTTTTCTTATCGGGGCACTTCTTCATGTCTTCTTCTCAGTAAACGGTCCTAATCCCTGCTCAGGCTAAAAATCTAATACTAATTCTTAATTTATCCTTTTAATATACATCTTCCATTTTGTCCGCTAAGAAGTTTTGTTGACATTACCTTCAAAATACATCTTAAATCTGTGTCTTGTCACATTAACTATTACTATCCTAAGCCACCATATTTCCCTCTGAACTATGTCCCTTTCTCCCTAGCTTCACACCCCGATATCAATTTTATTCATCTCTATCCACATAGCACATACTTTTTTACAAATTTTGATTTACTTTTTCATTGGTACACAATAAATGCACATATTTTCTGGATACATGTGATAATTTATTACATTCATATAATTTGTAAAGAGCAAATAAATGTAATCAGGATGTCCACCACCTCAAATACTTTTCTTTTCTTTATACTAGAAATATTTGAATTATTCTCTTCTGGTATTTTGAAATATACAATAAACTATTGTAAACTATAGTCATCCTACTGATCTATCAAACACTAGGTCTTATTTTATTTATCAAATTGTATGTTGGTGTTCATTTATTATTTTTAATTAATCTCTTTATTTCCCCCTACCCCTACCCTTCCTGGCCGCTGGTAACCACCAGTCTACTGTCTATCTTTATGAGATCCACTTTTTTAGCCACAACATATTAGTGAGAAGATGCAATATTTGTCTTTCTGTGTTGGCTTATTTCATTTACTTAATGATTTCCTATTCCATCCATGTTGTTGTAAAAGACAGGATTTCATTCTTTTTTATGGCTGAATAATATTTATACACTACCTTTTTTTTTTGAGACGGAGTCTTGCTCTGTTGCCCAAGCTGAAGTGCAATGGCATGGGTGATAGACTTGCCTCGGCCTTCCAAAGTGCACACTACCTTTCTTTTTAGAGGCATAAATTAAATTATCCCACACACCCCATCTCAAAATCCTACAGTGGACTTCTGATTTCTGGCCCAGTATATAAGAAGCTTGGAAGTCATCACTCAACCCCAACAACAAATAAAAAGCTGAACAAATGAAAAAAAAAAATCAATGACTCATTTTATATTTATAAAACAAGAGAAGTCACAGGGCAAATCACTGCCCCTGAAACTGGAGAGGCAAATGGGTAAATGTATAAAGCAACTTAATGAAGCAGAAACCCACAGGTAATATTCTTCATGGAAACAAGTGCCAGGGGAAGAAAGCTTAACTGTGATTAACAAATTGCTGGAGACTTGGTGTTGACAAGTCTGAGAGATTAAAAACTCCAGAGGGACCCAGTCATTGGAGGGCTCCCACACTTCTGTGAGTTTTATTTCCTTGAGCTCAACCTGTTTTCTCACGGTACATATTAGAGAAAATACTCTTGTGCTTTTGGCTGAGAAGAGAAAAGGAAACCATTTAAAAATATACCAGATAATTCAATTACTCTTAACAAGGTCTGTTTTCAGGATGAACTATTCAACCAGATCCTAACCTGCTGGAATTATTATCAGAACCCACTTGACTTGGGGGAAGGATAATACCAAGTTCCAGCTCCCTATAACTATTCTGTCCCATTTAAGGAGGTACAGGCAAAGAGTAGAGGTGAACTGAGAAACACGTGTAAAGCTCACAATCCAGAGGTACAGCGTTACTGAAAAAGTAAAACATAATCATTGGATTATGGAATGTTTGCCCCCCTTACACCATAGTACCACATTACCACAGGCCTACTTAAAATAGTTCCTTTTACTCAATACATAATGTCAGGCTATCAAAAAAAAAAAAAAAAAAAAAAAAAAGCCACAAGACTTACTAAAGGCGTAGAATCACAATTTGAAGAAACAGAGCAAGTATCACCAGCTGACTTAGATATGGCAAGGGTGTTGGAATCAGTGGATCAGATATTTAAAATAACTCTGATTAGTATGCAGAAGGTTCTAAAGGATAAATTAGATAATGTACAAAAATAGATGACAATGAAAACAAAGAGAAAGACATTTTAAGAATCAAAAAGAAGTGCTAGAGATAAAAAAAAAACCCTTAAGAGAAATGAAGAATATCTTTGATAGACTTATGAGTAGACTAGACACTTTTGAAAGATGAATCTCTGAGATTGAATATATACGTGTATACACACACACACACACACACACACACATACACATATCAGTAGAAGGCTCCAAAACCGAAAAGCAAAGAAAATAAAAACTGAAAAAACATGGAACAGAATATTCAATAACTGTGGGACAACTATAGAAATGTAACTTACGCATAGGGGGAAAACCAAAGGAAGAAGAAAAAGGGGAAAAAACAGAAGAAACATTTGAAACAACAATAACTGAGAATTTCCCCAAATTATTGTCAGATATCAAAACACAGATTCCAGAAAACTCAGAAAATAGCAAGCTGGATAAATGCCAGAAAAATGACAACTAGTTATATTATTTTCAAATTTAATACAATCAAAGATGAACAAAGAATCTCAAAAAAGACACAAGAGAAATAAACACCTTTCCTGTAGAAAAGCAAAGAATTACATCTGATACCCTCAGAAACCAGGTTAGCAAAAAGATAATGAATGAAAATATTTAAAGTGTTAAGAGAAAAGAAATCATCAACCTAGAATTCTTACCTCATTAAGCAACCTTCAAAAGTAAATGGGAAATAAAGGTCTCAGACAAATATTGAAAAAAATGTATTGCCGATAGCCCTGCATTGCTAGAAATATCAAAGGAAGTTCTTTAGGCAGAGGGAAAATGGTATCAGTCAGAAACTTTGTTCTATATAAGAAAGGAAGAGCATCATCAATGAATACATAATAATGGTACATAACATGAAAACTACTACATTTTATGTTTAATTAATATATCAGATAACAGTTTGTTCAAAATTATAATAGTAACAATACATCCAAATATGTATGTGTATGTGTATGTGTATGTATAAGTGAAATGAATGCCAGCAATAATACAAAAGGTGAAAGAAAGAAATTAGGATTGCTAGCCGGGCGCGGTGGCTCAAGC